TTCAAGGGCACATACCTAGGTTGTAGGTTCAATCCCTGGCGCCAGTCAGGGTCATGCAGGTGGCAACCAACCAATGTGTCTCTGTCACTTTGATGTTTCTCTTTCCCTCCCTCCCTCCCTCCCTCCCTCCCTCCCTCCCTCCCTCTCTCCCTATCTAAGAATCAATGGAAAAAATCCCAGGGTGAAGATTAACAAAAAATTAAAAGTTAAAAAGACCATAAGAGTGGGCTACCTGCTGACAACCCCCCATAATGTAAAATACCAACATAAATCCTATATCGTATTTAAAGGGATTATCTCTGAAATTGCAATATCACAGAGTAACAGGTACATAAGTCATGTATGTAGTACAAGACGTCAATGAAGCAATCCCAAGCAATACTGATTATGACTAAACTTATTTAGCATACACACTTTTTCTAAAACATCTGTAACATATCCATTGATCCAAAATAACCCTAGAATTAATAGCTATTATAAACAAACAAGAAAAGATAAGTCAGTTTCCTGGACAACTTGGTAATTTTTATTTAAAACGTTTTACTATGAAATTTACATATGTCACAAGTCTGTACAATTTAGGCAATTATAAATTCACCATTAACAATAAACTATTGGCTAAGTTTGAACACAATTATAAGCTAAGTACACACAACAAATATACACAGTTATTCAATTCTAGGATTATGGCTAGTCTAAAAATAAGTGCCTTTCTACAGAACAACCTCTTGGCCCAAACACAACTGGAAACCTTAATTTTCCCTTTCCCTTCAATGAAATGTCATCAGTTCCTTCACTATCAAACTTCATTTACAAGTTCTTGAAACAAACAGGATTTAACAGGTGACTCCTGTATCAGGAAGAATATATCATTTCCTCACCACAGAACACAATAAAAGCAATTATATTAGTTTTATTTTTGTTTCCAGACCATCTCTAAAGTAATAAAAAATAAAAACACTGACACTCTTATCAGCAACTTAATAAACAATACCTAGAGATTTCAATTTTGGGTTAAGAGATGCCTGTTAAATATTTATAAACTGGTTTGTTTAATCAGAATGGTTAAATTACTTGTGAATTTGACCCTAAAGGAAAACAGCATTTAAGAAATCTTTTATTCCTGGGAAATAAAAGCCATCCAAATCAAGAGGCATTTGTAAACTATATTGACATGACCGTGCTTGTTGATAGGAGTTTCATAATGTATCATAACTGCACTTATTGTGGTCAGAGTACTATATATAATATGTAAGCATACAGATGTCATGCCAAGCCATCTGTGAAACATCCTGGTTTTCCCTGCCCCCGACCACCACTTCCTTAACAGACCTGCTGAGTGAAAGGGATAGCAGCTTTAAGACATTAATGTGAGGGGTCAAAGGTGAAACAGCTCACTTTAGATAGCTCTTCCTTTATTATGAGGAAGATTATAATTTTTCACTTCTAATTCAGTTACTATTTTGTATCTACGTGCAAAAATGTGTAATCTGCAAACAGATATATCAAATATTAGGTACTGTAATTCAATAAAAGTTAGGATTTAAGGATGCAAGGCAAATTTGTCTAGGTTACATTGCTGAGGCTCAGGGTTTGCACTAGGACATACAATTAACATGAGTCAGAACTGAAATCTAGATGTCTCTGGGGTTTAATGTGTGTTTATCACCATATTACAATGCCACTGATAATTTGACATGACTACAATACAGATGTCAGTATTCCTTTTAATTCAAGGATTAAGACTGAAAATATAAATTACATACTCCCATTTGATTGACTTGTTAGAACAAAGTGTGAAAATGATGCCATTAAAAAGTACAAAGAGCCCTGGCTGGTTAGGCTCAGCGGTTGGAGCGTCAGCCTGCAGTACAGAGAGACCCGGGTTCGGTTCCCGCTAAGGGCATGTACCTCGGTTGCAGTTTGTCCCCGGCCCTGGTTGGTCGTGCGGGTGGCAGCCACTCGATGTATCCCTTCACATCGATGTTTCTCTCTCTCTCTCTTCCTCTCTCCCCCTCCCGCTCTATCTGAACAAAAAATAGAAAAATGTCCTCGGGTGAGGATGAAAAAAAAAAAAAAAAAGTACAAAGAACTAAGTTTCATGAACGAGGAAAGTATTTAAAGCATAAACTTAAAAAAAAAATTATACAAGCTGTCTTGCGTTGAGCTTATTTCCAAGAACAGATACAAGAAATGTAGCTTTATTTTGGCACCATGATTTTCATAACAATAATACAACTCTCACACTGAAAAGAACACTAAATATGTAAGTCTCTTTTACCTCAACTTCAAATTTCTACCTTGAAATCTTCAGCTTCCTTCAAAGGCAGAAATCTGACAAGCCAATCCTGGCCCCTGACCTCCAAGCATACTACATTGCCAGCTGCACTAGTATCTGAGGCCCTGGACCTCACTCATTCTCTACCTGTAGGTGGAAACCAATATTTCTAAAATCATTACTTGACAGGTCAGACAAGACACAACTGTCTCCTAAAGGACACCAAATGACCACTCACTCTTCTTTTACTTTTTTTTTTTTTAATCCTCACCTGAGGACATTTTTCCATTTTTTTATTCAGACAGAGCGGGAGGGAGAGAGAGGGAAGAGAGAGAGAGAAACATGGACGTGAAAGGACACATCGAGTGGCTGCCACCCGCACGACCCAACCAGGGCTGGGGACAAACTGCAACCTAAGTACATGCCCTTAGTGGGAACTGAACCCAGGTCTCTCTGGACCGCAGGCTGACGCTCTAACCACTGAGCCAAACTGGCCAGGGCTTCTTTTACTTTTTGAAAGTCTCTAAAACCAAGAGGAGGTTGGTGAAATAACATGAAGTTGAAGGTTGACATCAACACATGTAGATTTTTCTTACTATCCATTTTATTTATTTAAAGGTTTATTATTTATTTTTTTTAAGTTTTTTTAAAAATTGATTTTTAGAGAGAGAAGAGGGGAGAGGGAAAGAGAGATAGAAACAAATTGGCTGCCTCCTGTACACCCCCCACTGGGGATCGAGCAAGCAAACTGGGCATGTGCCCTGACCAGGAATCAAACTGGTGACCTCCTGGTCCATGGGTCGGTCCTCACTCAATCACTGAGCCACACCTGCTGGGCCTTAATATCCATTTCAAATGAGTTAAATTTTGGAATAACAAAGTCCATCTTATTTTCACTGTGCAGAAGCCTGAGACATTTCCTTTGAGAGACAGAGAAAACATTTAGCAAGAAAGCTCCTACAATGAAATGATGACTATGTATGACAGTATTTTAAGCAAAACTCTTAAAGTAGTAATCTGAGAAATGAGGATCTTATATTGGGCCCACCGAACCATGTTAATGATTTTTAGACAACATATTAATACACATTTTCAACAGATAAGAGTTTAAGATAGGGAACCGATCTAGTTTATTTTTAGATGAATAAAAAATTTTAAATCAAGAAAAATCAAAAGGGCCAGCAACTGAAACAGTAAGCAATAACAAGTGATTAAAGCCCAAATACTGAGTTGCTATGTTACAGGGAAGCTGCTGTTCACCTGGACCTTTGCCCAAAACACAAAAATTGGGAGAAATGCCGGTGGTTTAAAGGGAACAAGGGTTCTAATTTTGCTGCCTCATTCCTTTATCTGGACAGCTAATCTTGATCTTGCAGAAGCTTTTTTCTCTGCTACTGTTTCTACTGAAATGGCCATAACCACACTGGAAACCAAACAGGGTACCAAAACTCTTATGTGGGAAATCTACAGTTCAAAAATCACGTTGAGAATGTATACTTAAAACTAAGATTAGAAATGTTAAGTTCTTTATAACGATCAATCCAAGACTCTGACCAAGGAGACAACAAAGTATTTAAAAATCTCTCAAAATCCTTTAAAGTAACTAAATAGAGAGCAACATTCTCTGTACTCTTCCAAGCTTATGGCCCTTCCTTCCAAGAAGGAGTTCCTTTAAAAACCACCACCTGCTCAGGGTGCATTTTTTTCTCCTGGAGAAGGCATCTGCACTGCAGATCTCTGCCCTAGGGGAGCTGGCCAGCCAGCTCCCACCAACAGGCAGACGCATATACAATGGAAACTAAAAGCGGCCTGCAGTTTCCCTCCTCGTCTTTCACAGAGATGGAAGAAGGGGGTTCTACCAGCCCCTGCTTTGTCTGAATATCTTCCCCTCCCCCCTTTCTGCGGTAAACACCTCCTTTTGTTATGCTGCGATCAAGCAGACCCCAGAAAGCATGGAATCAAAATATGTTGATGGCTGGGCCTGACTCTATTATCTTCTAGAATACAAGCGATTGATTGCACGTCCCCACCCCCACGCCGCGACAGGGAAGAGCAGCAGGCTGTGCTGCAGATGCAGCCACAGATCCATCTTGGACCATCAGCAGCTCCCTCCCAAATCTTCCCTGAGCTATTCACATCACGTCTCCCTCTACCTCAGAGCCTCAGAAAAATGGGGCATTTAGGAAAGCTAGACACAGAAAATTAAAGGCAGGTAAAAACGGTATAGAAAACAGGTCCAATGTTCCCACTAAACTTCCTCGTCCTCCCCACTGGCCACCAAAAACAATTTTTCTGGACGACTACCATGAATGTCTGATTATGTCAACACCTGTCTGCAAACCTGCAATGCAACCCTTTCACCACCGTCCCCTTAAAATCGTAACTAACCATTTCTCCTACGACCAACCTGCCCCAATCCTCTCAACCGCTCTAATCCTCCTCTAAGTCACCCGGGTTCAGGGAGCTGCTCCCCGATCTGGTGTTTTTCCCCACCTGGTCTTGGCGTTAACGCCCACTCTCTAGACTATCTCCCCGCCCCCAACCTGTTTTCCTCACACCCCGTTATTTCCTCACCGCCTGCACGACCTTACGCTCCCTTCCCCCTTAGCCCATTGCCAGACGCCGTCCCCGGGGGCTGCAGCCTCCAGTAGGGAGGGTGATCTGCCTTCCCCTTGACCCCCTAAGCCCCCTCCCGAGGGCGGGGGTCCCCAGCGCGCCTCACCCGCACAGGAGCCGCAGCTCTTCGCCCCCAGGGCGGGGCAGGCTCCCGGGCTCCCGGCGCCGCCGGGAGCGGAGGGCTCGGCCCCAGAGGACGACGAGGAGACTGACGGGGATTGAGTGGCCGCCGACAGGTCCGCCATGGCTGCGCAAGGGCGAGACAGGGGTGAAGAGAGATGTGGGGCGGGAGAGAGGGAGGGGAAAGAAAATAATAGGACGGGGGGTTCTTCGAAATCCCTTCGATCCTCCTGCTCCGAAGACAGACTCCGACAGAATGACTGACTCAGCCCAGCACAGCGAGAGGGCGGGAGCGCGAGCGCGCAGGCGCACGAAGGGCCCTCGGGCGGGCGGCGGGGGCGGGCGGCAGTGGCGTCGAGGCGCCCAGCGACGCAGGACGCAGGCGCAAGAACTGTCCCTCCGCGTTCTTCTCGCGGCTCCCCATGGAGACCAGGCCCAAGGGGCATGGACAAGTACCAAGCCCCGCCCACCGCTGCGGCCGAAGTGGGAGGGGGTGCCTGCGAGTTAGTGCTCCTTCATAACTGTGTGAATGTTTTAGGGTCGGCGGGTTACGTGTTTTAACGATAGACGTTTCTTTTTGCTTTCATTAGGGGGAACCTTTCCCATCAATTTCAGAGCCATTGTCTTTTGTCCGGTGCGTTCCCACCTGTGACTCCATTGAAAAGTGAAAACCGCAGTGTGGAGTAGGCCCACTCTGCAAGGTGCTTTATGAATTTTTCTGGATGTGTCATATCACCATGAGGCAGAGATGACACGGTCTTCTATTTGGTAGGTGGAGAAAGATGTTGTACAGAATGAAAAACGATTACTCATTCCAATCACATTGCAATGCAGCTGCAGAACCTGCTTCAAATTCTTATCTCCTTACTGTTCCCGAAGAGGGGTCTGGTGCGCCTTGGGTCTTAAGGTCCTCCTTTCCTGCGAATAGTCTTTCCAACGAATAGTCCATCAGGTAGAAAAAGCAAATTTTGAAGGATTAAAATCCTGAGCGAACAAGAAAAGAAGAGCCAGGAGATAACATCCTGGCTGTGGCTAGGGGGGGATGGTAAAATGAGGTACTAAAAATTGAGAATGTGGCACAAAATACACATGATTGAATTTTATTCATATCTTAAAAGGGATCCTTAACAGAAAATGTATTTGAAACCAGATATCTAGCTTATACTATACTTTGTTCATTTTTTGGCTTCACTTCGGTTGGTTTGCAAAATTCAAAGCCTTCTTCCTACATTTGGTCAGAATAATTGAAATGTGAATAATTATTTTAAGAAGGGAACATAGACTGGAAATAATAAAAATCAAGGCTGTAGGGTTTGTTATTGCTAAAGCAGCAATTAATGACCCAAAGAGCACTTTAGGATCAGCAGATCCTGTAAAGATGTTGCCTCATAAAGGGTGAGGTACTAAGCCAGGTGGCCACTGAAAGGAAAAGCAATCTGACCAGTGGAAATATTCTAGAACAGTGGACTACATCTGCCCTTGACAGTTTTTGAGGTCAGGTAAAGCCCAGACAGGAGAAAAACTCCTAGCTATTGCAACACTTTGAAAAAAGACACAGAAGGATATTTCCCAAAATAACTTTGTGGCAAATATCTTACTCTGGCACTTACAGCATTAGTTGATAATGCAGCAGTATGTTCTTTAGATGACAAGGGGAAATACAAGCCAACAGGATGACCAAGCCCATTTGGACAAATGGATTAATTTAAAAAATTTACATTAGTGGGTGCTGAATAAGGAAATGAATGATCCTGGCCCCCAACCCTGACAGCAGTTTCTAGAATCTGAAGACCCTGGCTGGAAAAGAAACCCATTTCCATGATAGTTAGAAGCGGACAAAAGCAGCTAAAAATCAAGACACTGCTTGGCCAGTGTAGCTCAGTGGTTGAGCATTGACCCATGTACCAAGAGGGTGCCAGTTTGATTCCTGGTCAGGGCACATGCCCAGGTTGTGGGCCAAATCCCCAGTGGGGGGCATACAGGAGGCAGCCAATCAATGTTCTCTCGCATCGATATTTCTATCTTTCTCCCTCTCCCTTACTTTATTTTTTCAATAAAGAAAAAAAAAAAATCTTAAAGAAAAAAAATCAAGACGCTGATGTGGTCTTGGTGGTCTCTTCAGACCCGTCAGATTTTTTTTTATAAGTCCTTTGCACCCGGCTGGTGTGGCTAACTGGTTGAGCGTTGACCCTTGCACCAGGAAGTCGTTGATTTGATTCCCAGTCCCTGCACATACCCAGGTTGTGGGCCTGATCCCCAGTGGGGGGCATGCAGAAGGCGACCAATCAATGTTCTCTCTCATTGATGTTTCTCTCTCTCTCTCTCCCCCTCTCCCTTCCTCTCTCTCTAAAATCAATAAAGAGTCGATGTTTTTCTCTCTCTCTCTCTCTCCCTCCCTCTCTATCTGAACAAAAAATGGAAAAATGTCCTCTGGTGATGATAAAAAACAAAAGAAAAAAAACAAACAAAAAAATTAGATCAAAAAAGAAAAAATAGTTCCTGAAGAGGGGTCTATTTGTGCCCTGGATGGTTTGCTCAGTGGTTAGAGCATTGGCCCATGGACCAAAGAGTCACGGGTTCAATTCTGGTCAAGGGCATGTACCTTGGTTTCGGCCCTGGTTGGGGTCGTGCAGTAGGCAACCACTCAATGTGTCTCTCTCATGTCGATGTTTCTCTCTTTCACTCCCTGCCACTCTACTTGAAGATAAATGGAAAAATATTCTCGGGTGAGGATTTAAAAAAAACAGCAGAATCCTTTGTGCTAGGCCCAATTCTTGAAACTGCTTTTCCTTCCTGATCTCTCTTGCTTTACCAGTAAACTTCCCAGTAAGCAAGACTGACTTGCTTGGGATGTTATTTATACATATAATTTGTTCCACAAATGTTTATTGATCACCTGCTGTGTGTGTGTGATACTATTCTGGGAAATCTGGAAGGATCCAAAAAACGTTTATCCTGTCTTCAATGAGCTCACATGCCAGTTGGGGCTTAGAACATACATAAAGTTTAAAAATACAGCCCTGGCTGGTTTGGCTCAGCGGTTAGAGCATCGGCCTGCAGTCCGGAGAGACCCAGGTTCGGTTCCCGCTAAGGGCATGTACCTCGGTTGCAGTTTGTCCCCGGCCCTGGTTGGTCGTGTGGGTGGCGGCCACTCGATGTGTCCCTTTCACGTCGATGTTTCTCTCTCTCTCTCTTCCTCTCTCTCCCTCCCACTCTATCTGTGCAAAAAATGGAAAAAAATGTCCTCGGGTGAGAATTAAAAAAAAAAAAGAAAAAAAAAAAGTTTAAAAATACAAATTAAATAGCAACCAAGCCCTGGCCAGTTTGGCTCAGCGGTTAGAGCGTCGGCCTGCGGTCCGGAGAGACCCGGGTTCGGTTCCCGCTAAGGGCACGTACTTCAGTTGCAGTTTGTCCCCGGCCCTGGTTGATCGTGCGGGTGGCAGCCACTTGATGTGTCCCTTCACGTCGATGTTTCTCTCTCTCTCTCCCTCCCTTCCTCTCTCTCCCTCCCACTCTATCTGTACAAAAAAAAAAGGAAAAATATCTTCGGGTGAGGATAAAAAAATAAATAAGTAAATAAATAGCAACCAAAAACAATCCCAAACAACATAAAACTATAATGGCAAATTAGATGGCAAGTGAATTGTATAAATTTAAGAGGGTAGGGAATCACTATGGAGTTATAGTGGCTTGGTGAGGAGGTTTTATGAAAAAGCCCAAAGTCAGATAGGAATTTGTAATAGTAAAGAGGTCATTGAAAGCAGGGGGAAAAGGGTATGAAGCAAATACACAGTAAGACTTCCAGTCTGTCCAATCACAAAAATGCACCCCTTCCTCCCAGCCCAGCCCACGCACTTCAGTGCTACTTATCTAGCAGAAGCAGCCCAGATTTGATCCCCTCTTGCCCCGCCCCTCCACATGCTGCCTTAGTGTAACACCTAGGCCACCTGTGGTGGCTGGAGGTTCAGAAGTGTGCCTGTATATAAGGTGTTTTGGGTGTGGTTAACCTAGGTTGGCTAGAGCGAAGGGCTTGAACTGGGACAAGAGGGAGATAGAATAGGAAAGATGCATTGGAGCCAAAGTGTGGAGAAGCAGTAATAAAAACCCAAATAACTGAGGCTTTGTCTTAAGACTAATGGGGATTCACTGAAAGTTTTCAGGCAGGGAAGAGCCCTCATGGGATTTTTTTTTGTTAATCCTCACCTGAGCATATATATATATTTTTTTTGTACAGATAGAGTGGGAGGGAGAGAGGAAGAGAGAGAGAGGGAAACATTGATGTGAAAGGGACACATCGAGTGGCTGCCACCCGCACGACCACCCAGGGCCGGGGACAAACTGCAACCGAGTTACATGCCCTTAGCGGGAACCGAACCGGGGTCTCTCCGGACCGCAGGCCGACGCTCTAACCGCTGAGCCAAACCGGCCAGGGCTGAGCATATTTTTTCCACTGATTTTTAGAGAGAGTGGGAAGGAAGAAGAGAGAGGGAGAGAGGGAGGGAGAGAAAGACATCTATGTGAGAGAGGCACATTGATCGGCTGCCTCCTGCATATGCCTGGGCAGGGCTGGGGATCGAACCTGTAACCCAGGTATGTGCCCTTGATTGGGAATTGAACCCAAGACCCTGCCACTCCAACCACTGAGCCACACTGGCCAGGGCACTCCATGGGATTTTTTAAAGTGCTCACTGTAGTGTAGTCATTCCTCAGGACTTCTGTTGAGAAATTTATTATTACTATTATTATTATTATTATTTGTGGTACATGCCCCTAGCGGGAATCGAACCCGGGACTCTCTGGTCCGCAGGCCGACGCTCAACTGCTGAGCCAAAGTGGCCAGGGCAATTATTATTTTTTAAATCCTCACCTGAGGATATTTTTCTATTTATCTTCAGATAGAGTGGGAGCGAGGGAGAGAGAGAAACATCAACGTGAGAGGGACATATTGACTGGTTGCCTCCTGCACAACCCCTGCCAGGGCCGGGGGCAAACTGCAACCTAGGTTTGAACCTGAGACTCTTTGGTCCGCAGGCCTATGCTCTACTGCTGAGCCAACTGGCCAGGGCCTGTTGAGCAATTAAAAAAAATATGTTTTTTAAAAACAACTATGAGCCCTGGCCAGTTTGGCTGAGCGGCTGGAGTGTCGGCCTATGGACCAGAGAGTCCCGAGTTCGGTTCCCGCTAGGGGCACATACCAAAAAAACCCCCACAAAAACAACTACTATGAGGTATCACCTCACACCTGTCAGAATGGCTGCCATCAACAAACCATCAAACAACAAGTGTTGGCGAGGGTGTGGAGAAAAGGGGACTCTAGTACACTGCTGGTGGGAATGCAGACTGGTGCAGCCACTGTGGAAAGCACTAAGGTGTTACCTCAAAAAGTTAAAAATTGAACTGCCCTTTGATGCAGTGATCCCACTTCCAGGAATATACCCTAAGAAGCCTGAAACACCAATCAGAAAGAATATATGTTCCCCTATGTTCATAGCAGCACTATTTACAATAGCTAAGATCTGAAAACAACCCAAGTGTCCATCAGTAGATGAGTGGATTAAAAAGCTGTGGTACATGTACACAATGGAATACTATGCAGCTGTAAGAAAGAAAAATCTCTTATCCTTTTTTTTTTTTATCCTCATCCGAGGACATTTTTCCATTTTTTATTCAGATAGAGTGGGAGGGAGAGAAAAGAAACATCAACGTGAAAGGGACACATCGAGTAGCTGCTACCTGCACAACCCAACCAGGGCCAGGGACAAACCGCAACTGAGGTATGCATCCTTGGCGGGAACTGAACCCGGGCCTCTCTGCACAGCAGGCCAACGCTCTAACCGCTAAGCCAAACTGGCCAGGGCCAAATCTACATCTTCATCCATCCTTTTTAATACAAATGATAGCTTGCTATATACACTGTTAGATATCTCGCTTCCTTTCATTAAGAGTAAACTCTAGTGATTTTTTCCTAGTGTCTCTGAAGGGTTAGACAGCTGTTCTGTTGTCTGAAATAACAATAAGGAAGCAGCTGACAGGTTTTGAGCTTTTACTGGGTTGCCATGTTGAGGGCCTGATATTTAGCTTTACAACACCCTGTGAGTTGGGGTTGGCTATTTCCTTTTATAAACTAGGAAACCAAGTCATTACCTCATTTTATACATGAGCAAAGTGAGGTACAAATACTTAAATGACACTAATGGATGCCAGTAGTCCAGCCTATTCCTTCTGAGTGCCCATAATGTTGCTTAAGCATGGATTTTGCAAGTAGGTGGTAGGAGAGAAGGCTGAACTGTGTCCTGGCACAGTTGTAGTGAGTGATTATTTACTTGACTATTTACCCCACAAGACTGCGAGTCTTTGGAGGAAAGGAATATGATATGTGTTATGCATCACTGTAGCATTACTGCTTAGCGTTGTACCTGGCACATAACAAATGTCCTATTTTTGAAAGCTTTATAGCTCGAGTCACACTGGATATAATTGCAGAAAACAATTTTGCTATTTTTGTGCTTCATAAAAACACTTGAGTAACCTGAATATTTATGACTTTGTTTTGCTTTTCCACAGTGAATGATGATGACCATTTTTGAGTGCTAACTATGCATCAGTCACAACTGCCAAACACATCTCATTTAACTCACAACTCTGTGAGATGAGTAGTCAAATCATTTAACCATGATAAAACAAGTTCAAAGAAGCTAAATAACTCACTCAAGTGTGCACAGCTAGTGAGCCTCAGAGTTAGAATTCAAAGCCAGGTCAGTCTGACCCAAAGCTAGTGGCCTTAACCATTCGAACATGTCTACATATCACCTACTTATGGAAAATCACAAGAGAAGCTCAGCCTCTGGTCATACCACATGACTCAACTCAGAGTAAGACTGCTAAAGACAGGCTGTAATCAGTATCACCAATATTTAGCTTGAATGCCCACTGTTTTGATGACCCAGGATAGTTGAGAAGGAAACAGCAATAACAATAACAAAACATGTTTCTCATTAAAGTCTACCTATAATTTGTACTGAGTTGTTCCAAATGCCTGAAACTTCTACAAGGTATGGGGAAGGCTGATATTGCTGATGCTAACCTTGATAACGTTATGTGGAGACAGATGTAACATCAGTATTTGCTGGTCACTTCCTGACAGGATGGATTTCAGTGGATCTTTGTTGGTAGCTCTTAAAATAGAATAGGGTATTTTTGTTCAAATGCAAAAGTAGACACTTTATATTAAAGGAACAAGAAAGTGAGTGAGTAGTGTTAGGTGTAACATATACCTTCTTTATTTACCCATTCAATAAATATTTGAGTTTTTACTAATTACCTGGCATTGTTGAAGCATTGGGGATATATCAGTGAACAAAAACAGACAAAAACTTCTCTTTGGAACTTACATTCTACTGGGAAGAGATAAACAAATAGAAAAGGAAAACAAGTCATATTGTAGTAAGTCTTATGGAGAGAGACAAGGAAATAAAATGCTGGGATGTGTGTGAAATTTTGAAAATTCTTACAGTGTGTTGCAATTGTGATAAATCATTGGCCTTTAACCCCTCTCTCTTTCTGAGCCTGCCAAATAATGCCCTGGATTTGTGTTATGTCCCATAGGTCCTGCCTTCTGTACCCAGTGTGAAACTCCAATAACCACTTGCCCTGATGTTCATGTCTAGTTTCTTGCTGGCCCCAGCTGGTCTAGATCTAATCTAGACTCTTAAATCTAAAGCCTGGAGGAGGGTATTCAAATAATCCTGAGAGGTTGGGGAGAATCAGAAGGGGTAGAGGAAAATAAATCAAAACAGGCCCTTTTTAGGTAAGATTAGGCAGATTTATCTTCACTTCTAACCTAATCACTAGCTGTTAAAAACAGCTTAAGGGCTTGGCAGGGCCTATAGGTAGCTGAAAGAAAGTTCTCGGTAGGTTATTATAATTCAGACAGAAGCAGAAGAAAAAAAGTGGATAATTTGTCAAATGAATGAGGCAATGGTGATGCCAAGAGGTGGTGGTGGTGGTATGGCGGACACTTTGGTCTCCCATAAACTCCACCACCTACTTACTCCCAAGAGAACTGCCCTTCCCACAGTAAATACAAAATAACAATACTATTCGATTGTGGCAACTGGCATTTTCTCAATCGTACGTGAAGTGTGAATAAAAGCATTTTCGGAGCGTCTTGTTTTTTATTGATCTATCATACAGTTTAGGAATGTGCTTGCAGAAACAGCTTCAGAAAAGCTCCTGTAAACCCGAGGTTAAAAGATGGCCGTGGCTCGGGCCGCACACAGCCGGTGAAAGGGGCTTCACTGGTTACGTTAGCTACTACAGGGGTGATGGGGCATCCCCAGGCTTCACCAGGGACCGGAATATGGGGTGAAGCTAACAATGGTGGTAATGAAGTCACAGCCTCCTCTCGTTGTGAAGTCAAAGTCGTTAAAAGAAACCGGTGCCGCTCACGTCACCCAGGGTTGAGGCCTTCTTTCGGTCCTTAGGGCAGAGTATGGCCCAGGTCGGCGTTAAACACCAAAACCGTCTCTAGCGCGGCCGGTAGAGGTTCGACAGGAGTTCGAAACCGGTTATCCCAAAGGCTCGGTTTCGGTTAGGACTTACTGGCGGGTTCCGGCCGGCCCGCACCTCCCCGCAATGCCTGATGGGAGTTGTAGTTCAGTTGTCGAAGGGCCGCGAGAAGTCCCTCCCTTTTTTCTGCTTCCTCCCCGCCCGGAATGAGTGCGCAGAACCGAGAGCGCTGGCGGGGACCCAGCGGGCATAGGACGAGAATCGCCAACGGATCGGCAGTCCCAGTGCGCAGTCCCAGGTGGACGGCGGCGCGCTTCGCGCTCCCGCGCATGCGCACACACGTCGGGCGGTGGCGGGATTTGGCCGCGTGCGCTTTCCCGCTTCTGTTCGTCCCGAGCTCGCCGTGCCCGGACCCTCCCGTCGGGCCTTGTCCCCCCGCCCTGTGCTCGCTCCCTCGCGGCTCCGCGCGCCCCTCCTTCTCCCCAGTTTCTTCCACAGCCCAGGCCCCGCCCGTCACCCGCCTCCAGGGCCTAGTTCGTTCCCGCCCAAGCCCTTCCCTCTCTGAGCCCTGCTGCTTCTGCTGAAGGCGGAGGCTCCATGTTGTCTCCTCAGCGAGCGGTAGCGGCTGCCTCGGGAGGAGCAGGTGAGGCGCCTAATTTCCCCCAGGCCCGCTTTATGGCCACCCCCGCTGCCCTTCCTCTAGAGCTGGGAGGAGACCGCCCGTCCGTGCCGCCGTTCCTCCTTGTCCCGGGGCCGCACGCCCTTCGCCGGGGCCCCTGGCCCGCGATTTCGGGGCCGGGAGCTGCTCGCGGGGCCGGGTTGGTCCGGCGCGGGCGGCGCCTCACTCGGCCCACGGCTGGAGCCGCCTCCTTCGGGGGTCGGGCCTGCGCCCGGGGGAGGCCGCTAGTGCCCCTCTGGGTCTGGCTGCGGGTCTGGCGCCTCCTCACCCTCCGGGGCGGCGTCCAGAGCCTTCCGCCCCGCTCTGGGCAGAGCCCGGCGCCCCGGGGTCGCTGCCTCCGTTCTGCCCGACGCTCCGCACCCTTGGCACCGGGAAGGTGGGGCCGGTGGCTCAGGCCTTGTTAGCTGCCGCGGGAGCGGGAAGGCAGCTGCTCGGTTTCGTTTACCTTGGAGACGAGCTCGGAGGGCTGCGAAGCGTCTTCGAGTCGGATGCTTTCTTTTCATCCTCACGACCTTGAGACGCTGGCCCCGCGAAGTATCCAGAAGTAGATTCACAGCCCGCACGTTACCTCCATGAAGGACCTGAAAGAATGTGGCCTACATGATTTTTTAGGGAGTCCTTGAGTGCGTTTGGTATTGCACGCTGTTGTTCTGCTGTCCTGGGGGACTAAGAGAGAGTAAAAGGATGAAATAAAAACCACAGTGAAAGGCTCAACCGTTCGTGGGCGCGACGTCGCTTACCTGGCCTGATCCTTGTTTCATGGGTGTGCTGTTGAAAGGGCCAGAAGTTCCACTTGTGAAATCTAAAGGCAAGAAAAGGAAATAACGTGTTTGAAGAACCTATTTTAGTAAATAAATCCCAGTCCTCAAATTGGGATACGCAATTGGGTGAAATGTTTTGTGAAAGGGAGGAAAGAACTAACGGACCAAAAACGCGATTTCACATTTTGGCTTGCTTTTTGGAGAAGCAAAAGCTAGGCAGTTTTAATCCGCGGCAAGTATTGAGCATTGGAATGTACCGAAATTCTAAAATTAGTACTTTTTTCCAACTCCCATAGAAACTAGCTTGTGGTCTAGTTTAGAAACCCCTGTTTTTGCTGCTTTAATCACCTTCAAAGTAAACCCTTGGATGAAAAGTGCTCTACATAATGAAGCATTACACTAGTACAGCACATTGTTTAATTAACTGCAGTTTATCTCATTGGAGTAAAAACAAAATAAAGAAAAATAACGATACAGGGTAAATGTCATGAGGTATACTAATACAATTTTTCTTAGTTTTCACTAAATGGGACCTGTTTAGAATAGGCTTTAAAAAAAATTGGTACAGCCCAGGCTGGTGTTGCTCAGTAGTTAGAGTGTTGGCCTGAGCACTGAAGGGCCTCGGGTTCGATTCCTGGTCAAGGGCATCTACCTCACTTGCAAGTTTGATCCCAGACCCCTTGGGGCATATGCAGGAGGCAACTAATAGATGTATCTTTTTCACATAGATGTTTCTCTCTCAATCAATAGATGGATCTCTTTCACATCATGTTTTTTTTCCTTTATTGGTTTTTAGAAAGAGAAAGTGAGAGAAAGAGAGAGATGGAAACATGGATGAGAGAGAACATCGATTGACTGCCTCCTGCACACCCCCCACTGGGGATTTGGCCCACAACCTGGGCATGTGTCCTGACTGGGAATCAAACCAGCGACCTCTTGGTGCATGGGTTGATGCTCAACCACTGAGCCACACCGGCTGGACTCACATCATGTTTTTTTTTTTTTTCTCTCTCTCTCTCCCTTCCTCTGCTCCCTCCCTTCCACTCTCTAAAAATTGATGGAGAAAATATCCCCTGGTGAGGATTAAAAAAAAAAATTGGCACAGCACGTACGTTTTTCATTTTATGATTTCTAAATCATAAAATAAAAGATAGAGTCACACTATTTAAAGTAAATATAAAGTTTATTCAACCTCCCCAGTGGTCATTAACAGTTTGGTCACATAGTATTGTTACTTATTTTTTTGAGTCACATATTCTTTTATTTTTTTAAATCCTCAGCCAACCATATTTTTCCATTTATTTTTTCAGACAAAGTGGAAGGGAGAGAGAGAAAGAGACACAGACACATTGATTGGTTGCCTCCCGTAGGACTCTGATCAGAGCCAGGGACCAAACCTAAACTGAGGTACTTGCCCTTGACCAGAACTGAACCCGAGACTCTCTGGTCCGAGGGCCTATGCTCTAACCGCTGAGCCAAACCGGCTAGGGCGAGTCACATTCTTTTAAGATGTCTATGAAGTACCTTAGGAACCCTAGGTTGTGTGAACTTGTTTGAGAACTGGTTCAGAATTTACCTATAATGACTAGGTGTACTTGTTCAAGTTTCTATGGCCTTGTGTTTCATATTGAGACATTGTTAAAAAAAAAACAACAAAAAACTACATTTTAAAGTTAGTCTAAATTAAAAAAAAATTGATTTTTAGAGAGAGGAAGGGAGAGGGAGAGAAAGAGATAAAAACATTGATGAGAGAGAACATTGATTGGCTGCCCCCTGCACGCCCTCCACTGGGGAATTAACCCACAACCTGGGCATGTGAATCGGCAACCTCTTGGTGCTTGGGTTCATGTTCAACCACTGAGCCATAACAGCCAGGCCAACCTGGGTTGTTTTTTTTTTAATTCTCACCTGAGGATTTTCTATTTTCTTCAGATAGAGTGGGAGGGAGAGAGAGGGAGAGAGAAACATCGACGTGAGAGGGACACATCCACTGGTTGCCTTCTGCACAACCCCACCCAGGGCCCGATATGAATTGCAACTGAAGTACGTGCCCTTGGGTGAAATCGAACCCGCGAGTCACTGATTCACGGGCCAACACTCCACCACTGAGCCAAGCCGGCCAGGGCTAACCTGGGGTTTTTAAAACCTGCCAATGCTTGGGACCCACCCACAGATTCTGATTTAATTCATTGAGGGGCTAGGCAGTAGTTAAAAAAAAATTCCAAATCTAATTTGCATACTATTTTATAACTAAATTTCCCTATAGGTGGTTGCTTAAGTTTGAATTGGTTTGTTATTATACAGGAAATATAATTTGTAATATCAATATTTGTATTAGAAGTTGATGCTCGTTATTGCAAATTTATTAAAAATGCTTTTTCTTGGCATGGATTTTGGTTGTTAGACCATGTTAGATATATTTCACAGCTAACCAATATTACAAATTAGGAAACAGGTTTTGCTGGTATAGTAGGTAAATAAGCAAAGGAGTAGATTAAATTCTTCTTATGCCTTGAATGATAAGGAATCTAAGCAAATAAATATTGCCAATTAAGAAAGCCTTATAAAACTGGAACACATAATTAAAACCTTTAGGTACCCCTGGCTGTTGTGGCTCAGTTGGTTGGGCATTGTCCTGTGTACCAAAAGGTTGCTGGTTGGATTCCTGGTTAGAGCACATACTTGGTTTCAGCCCGACCCCCAATAGTTGGCATGCAAGAGGCAGCAGATAGATGTTTTGCTCTCACATTGCTGTTTCTCTTTCCCTCTGCCTTCCTTCCTCTAGAAATCAATAAAAATATTAAAAAACCTTCAGGTAATGAGAATGATTTTGGTGGTGGTCTCATTTTTAAGGAAGAGGCAAATAAGATGACTATTGAACTCATTCTATTAAAAAGATATTTAGATTTAGCTGGGTCTCTGCATTTCTGAATCTTCAAAACTGTTTAGTCATAATTGATCTTCATAAATCATGAAGCACTACAAAATTCTTCTATTTAATCTTCATCCCAGGATATTTTTCCTATTTATCTTCAGATAGGGAGGAAGTGAAAGGGAGAGAGAGAAACTGATGTGAGAGGGACACATGGACTGGTTGCCTCCCACACGACCCCGACGAGGGCCGGGGACAAACCGCAACCAAGGTAAGTGCCCTTGGCCGCAATTGAACCTGAGGCTCATTAGTCCATGGGCCGATGCAGTATCGCTGAGCCAAACTGGCCAGGGCAGCACTACAAAATTCTTAATTAATAAAATGTGGTTTTGTTTAGCATTCTGTGCTAAAGTGCAAAGATTTACTACAACATGAATTGAGAAAAAGCTCCCTCCAAAACCCTTTAATTAGGATGTAAATTTCCCCCCAATATTCTGTTTAGTTGGGTTTAAGTAGTATTTTAACTGAAACAGTTTAAAAACTTTATGTGTATCTACCATTATATTCCTACCTTAAGACAGATTAGAGTACATAAACGTACTTCCTTGCCATCACCAAAAGGAGCCACACCCAGCAGTTCTAGAGTTGGCTGAGGGCCTAGTGTACTTACTTTCTCATATGATGTGTTCTCTGGCCTGGTCTGTGAATTAGGAACTTGAAAGACTGCGAGCAAGAACAAGGCGTGAAAATGGTATGCTTCTGTTGGGTGTGTTGCTTTTTTATTTTAGAGAATGGTATTTCAAAAGGAGAGTGGAAAAGTCAGGTCATAATTTCACCCTGAGTCATGTACTCTACTCAGTGAAATGTTTCTAACTGTAGTTAATTTGCTTTTCGGAACTCACTGGACAGTAAGGATGAGCACTGAGGCTGGCTCCACCCTACTGGTTCTTACCCCAAGTAATTTTGCCACATGGGACGTTTAGCAAAAGTCTGGAGACATTTTTGGGTCTCATAACCAGGGGGAAATACTACTGGTATCTAGGGGGTTAGAGGCCAGAGATGCTGCTAAACATCCCACAGCAAAGTTATCCAGCCCAAAATATCAGTAGTGTTGAAGTTGAGACCCTGTTCTGTGCTGTCGAATTGATCAACTACATTTCTGTGTGAATTTTCTGAAATAGCTATTGTAATTGCTTCCAATCTGCTCGTTTCATTGACTTTATTACAGTTCAGGTGGTCTTCTCAAAGATTTGAAGGGTAAACTTTTTCCCCATAATGCTTTTCTGATAGAACTTATTTCTTAGATTTATATTTTCCATAGTACTGAAAAG